ATTATTAGGATTCTTTATCAGGATTAATAGTTTTCACAATCTATGCTTTATTAATAAGAATGCAAAATTTATTGATGCATAAGAAATACTTAAATAAATTGTTATCAAAATTAATAAAGAAACGTTGATAATTGTTGCGTAATTAATTTTGCAATAATATTGCGGTAAAATACTACTAACAAATTGGCAAATTATCTTAGTGATATATTTACAAAATTAAATTTGGAAAGAAATAATTGAGAAACATTCGCTGAACACTCGCTATATGTGAAAAGTTTTACGCAAAATTTTTAATGCGTGAAAAATAAAAAGTAAAAAGTGAAAAATTTCGCGTGAAATTACATGATTTGACCCCTTAAAGTTAAGCTTGCGTTTCTAAACTTATTAAAAAAGAAGTGTTGCAATCTTATTATCCACAAGTGTACAATGGAGAGCATAAATGAGATTATTTTTCTTAACTAATATTAGTTAATGATACCGATAGTTATTGGTAAACGTGTACGGAATATGGTCCCAACAGGAAAAAAGCGTGCTACTGACTTTAAAATAAATCTATGTTAATAGAATCGGGCATTAGCCAATAAAAAGCGAATGGAAGCATTTCCTTTGATCACATTGTAAATAGACCACATGGAACACATCCACTCATGTCAATAGGAGCTTAGTAATTTTCTAGTGGACTACCTATCAAAGATCTAATATTTAATTGACCAATCGGGCGCCATTCAGAGTAAACTTATTCTAGGTAGAATCTTTATTTTGCTAATTGTTGGAAATTTTATATGCTTAGATTGGATTATATTTTTAGATCTAGAGGAATAATCCAATCTCAGAACAAAAAATTCTAAATTGCAAAATAAACATTCTACTGAATGTCACTGTTAGATTTTCCTTTGATGATTTTCATGCGCTCGCACCATATGAACGACGGGAGACGAAGTTTCATATGGTGACCGTGACGAGGGCGTAAGGTGTCATCGAGCTCCGTGCAGCTTGGTGCAGCCCTCGGGAAGACAATAAACAAGGGGAACGATGGCTCGTCTCTCTTAAATTGGTTTCCCTCGCCGGTGATATCCTATGGTTGTTTTCGAGGTTGTGTAAAATTGTTTTCCCCGCGAGTGCGACAGCTTTACGGGGTGAGTTTTCACGAAATAACCTATCGACATCGATTCCCGAGGGAATACGACCCGCTTGTACCCTTCTCCCCTCTTCGATTCGTCGATGTGAGCCGAGCCCCGTCCCAATTTTGACAGGTTATGTTTGACAGGCGTGTGTAACCTTGGCCGTGTCTCGAGCGACCTCGAGTGGCTGGGAATCTGGCTCGCGAAATCCTCTTTCTTTCCCGTGTTACATTACGTAATTCACTTCGAGGATCGTGTAGCACAGCGTCCGCGAACACCATCGGAGTTTCGCGCGGTCTCATCCGTCATAACGTGCGCGATTTCGACCGCTCGCTACGCCATATTGATAGCGAAGTGTTTTCAATTGGTAACTCCTGTTTTTTCCGGGATATATATCTCGCGCGAAGCATCCTTTATCGTTCTCACAAGGGCCACCAGACAGAAATTTTCGACACATGTGATCATAGTAATCCATGAACGGTACTAATTCAGAAGTAATTTCAAAAGTCACTCGTTCGTTCTTAGGCCCTTGCTTCAAAAAATTAAATTTCAATCTGCACAGATCGTATTTACGTGACTTTGAAAAACAAACTTGTGATTGTTGCTTCCTTGCCGGTTGTAAAAAATGATAAGCTTTAGAGGCACTGTAAAGAAAAAATTTTTTCATGTTTTGATAGCGTGTAAATTGAATTGTATGTATGGTTTTTTTACAATCGATTAATTTTCAGCTGCAAAATGACTGAAAGCAGCATACCCAAAATGAAGCGGAATGGAGCGCGACTTTTTAAGAATCCACCACAACCGCACATGTGTATACAAGATTTTATAAAGGTATTATCATTGTGATAGTTATTGCAAGAATTGTTTATTATATAACTTGCAGGAATCAATAGCGTGAGTATTATATATAAATGTCAATCTTCTTGATATAGGGCAATATGGCTCCATGTTACATAAACGTACTGTCTTGGGACAAAATTGCAATGCCTCGAAAACCTTCACTGCCTGTGCCACTCTACGGAGGTATGAGAGTGCCACCACCTCGCACTAAGACAGATGCCGTAGTGTTTGCTGTAATGGTAAATCCAGAAGTTCTACGAATGAGCGGCAAGAATGCGGATGCAAAAGTAAGTAAAATATTTTTAATTTGCAGAGTTTTCAGAGTAATCACCATTTTTTTTGTTGTTAATTTTTATAAAACAAGCACACGTAATATATCTGGAATTTTTATCACATATATTGTTATTTTCTAACAGAAGCGTTCAAGCTTTATTGAACTACTGCTTGACTTCATAGAAGCGATGAACGCAGGCGTAGTTTTCACTCGTCATTATTCAATATTAAAAGACCGAGACATTACGGGCGAATTGAAAGAAGTCTGGAATACAGTACTAGCTATACGTGAAAATGAACAACGTCCACCGCAGCAGGAAACTTGGATCGATGTTCAACCATCTATATCACAATTTCCTCAATATCCAGAACAGCAACAACAGCAACAGCAGCAACAAGAATATATACCACAATCGCCACAGTATCATTCGAATATTGCATACGGTAGGACTGTTAACAATGAAAATATGCACTATGAGAGTTATGGGCACCAGAACCCTATAATTTCCAAAAACGAGCCTATCTTCATATCTGGGCATATTGTGCCCCAGCAGTATCATGGCAACGTTCCTCGAATTGCGCTTGATCGCTACAACTATCGCGAACGTGGTAGGGATGGTCAAGTTGTGCAGAATATTATTGCGGCACAGCACCAATTTCAGCCAAGACAAACATGGCCGCAATATATGCATCCAAACTCCAATACGAAGTACATGCATCCAAATTCAAATTTGCCATATGGACCGGCTACAAATACCACTCCGACAATTAATCCTTCGAATCCAATCAAGTCTTTTCAACCATATACTGCTTATCAGCAACAACAACAGCAACAACAACAGCAGCCATTGCCATCGCTACCACCGCCGCTGCATATGGATAATGCGATGCACATTGATATTCGTAGGATGCAACAGCAACCACAGCAGTCACAGACGCAATCACAAATACAACTGAGTCAAGTGCGGTCACAGTATGCTGAGCAATCTGGGTCATTCAACGTACAAAATAACGCACATAGAGGAAGTAGACCACATATGGGAGTAGCTCAAAAGAATAATGCTACTAAAAGGCAGACAAATTCATCAACGCACACTTCTTGTACAAATTGCCAAACTAAGGAAGATCAATCTTTTAGCAAGCCGAAAAGTCCTGTTAAAGTTCTTCAAAGGGAAACATTAACAGAACGGCAGAATACAATTAATCTTGTCGAGAATAATAAAACTTCAGTTGAAAAAACAGAAGAATTAAAGACTGTTCCGGTGACAGATTTAGATGAAGATCTTAAAAAAGGTGATGACATCGTGGTTGAGTATGTATGCACGGAAAAAGAAGACATCTGTAATTCGGAACTCGTGCGTACCGTCGATGAAGCACCATCATGCGAAGAAAAACATTCTATAAAATTAGAATCTTGTAAAATGTCTTTAATGGAAACAAAAGAAGCGGAAGTGTCACAACAATTGACTGTTCAAAAGAATATCTCAAAGAAAGAATACCATAAATTCATTAGGGGCAATGCGCGAACGCGAAGGACGCCAGCGACTAAAGGGGATAAGCATAACTTTTCTGCTGCGGAGAGCCCAAAACGCTCGCAGCCGACTATGAATAGCATTATTAAGAGTGTATTCAAAATTAATCCAGGCGCATCTGGTGAAGAGTCGTCCGGTAAGAAAAAAATGAATGGTCAAACGAGAACAACTAACGGCAAAGCTATGTGCGAGAATGAGGAACACGTACAACAGGGATATACGATATTAAAAAAGGAGACTCAGGAGGAGATGATGAGCGAGATCGCTCAATTATCCATTCAAGACTGCAAGGAAGCGACCGAAGTCGCTCCCGTGCTCTCGTGATAGCCTGGCCTACAGCTGTTACTCAGCTGTGTCGGCACGCGACCGAGAGCTTTGATGTAAATAGGTAGGATTTTATTAAAAAAAAAAGAAGTGAGGAAACAAAAGACACCGCACATAAATGAGAGGGAGAGGAGGCAAGATACATCTTTGATGATTATAAATAATGTCCTAATGAAACATCTCGATTTCTTCCGGATTAAATTGATGTATCTCTTTGAGAGGAGGGGGGGGGCAGTTTCAACGGTTGATTATCATCGCGCAAATATTTGACGTCACTGACATTATTTGTGATTTTACGATTCACAGTGGTATCGAATTATTTGATATTTAAAAGCATCGTTATGTACTGAAGATTCTTCGATAGTCTATGTTTTAATTCGTGATCCACAACACTAATGATTGCTCAATGCACTTAAACATTTTTTTTTATTGAAGAGTTTATATACTTTTTAAAAATTTATGATAAACTCCAAACCTAAGATAAATAAAATATTGAGACATTGTGGATCGGATTAAGGATTAAGGATTAATTACTAAACTGTGTGGATGTAAACATCTTGAATATGATCATAGCAGAAATAACGGTACTACGTGTAAGATCAACGAAATATTTATCAGTTTTCGTCAAAATATCAAAACATTCGCGATCGGAGCTGGGTACAATTTAAAAACAAAAAAATTCATGTATCCATATCCATACGTATCACTTGATTAATTAGTTTTCATGCAATGACTTTACTTATATAAGATAGATCATTTTCTTGAATGTTGCTTTCAATAACATCTTCGGTATCTATTATAGTTTTTATGTGTCCGTACCTGTAACTAAGAGCAAAGTTGCAGAGTTCTGAAATATCGGAGTTTTGTTGCGTTATGATTTATTAGATTTTTCTATATATTAGCTGATGAAAAGTATGATAAATTTAATTTTCTCTATATTTTTTATATTTTATAGAAAAATAAGTGTTTTTTAAATGAAATATTATGATAATTTGTTAAATGTTTAAAATTTGATCTAGGTATATATTTACTTTAAAAATATCTACTTTGAGAAAATAAGTATAAATATAATTTTTTCGCTATTTCTACTGTACCCACTACGGCGACGAGTGTGATTACTTGAGAATGTAAATTCACGCTTTGTTGATCGAAATCTGTTTAATAATTAATCTACTTCCAATATCTCACAGCAAATAAGATAAGATGAATAGAGAAGGTGATATTAAAATATTTTTAAGTATATGAGATTCTCTCCTGGATACTGGACTTCCTTATATATGAAAATTGATTGAAATTTACTTTAAATCTGACTAAGCACCAAAAGCTGGGTAAAAACGATAACATATTGCCGAATGTTATTGAATATTATGTGATCGCTAAATTAAGATTTATTAAAGTATTATCCGATGTACAGATATATGCATGATTACTTCAGTGATATTCAGCATCTTTATTAAATGGACGGATCTCGTAGTTCAGCGAATCAGTAATAATTATGAGATCAACTCCATAATTGAAATGTGTGTTTTACCCGGCTCCATTAAATATACAGTGATATTGACAGTGTATAGTTAAGAGGAATCGATAGATTTGAATTGGAATAACTGGAATAAAAAAAAAACACCGTGTAATTATTGCAAGACGAACGTATTCGTATATTTACGTGGAACGAAGCATTTCATTATAGAACGTAAAACAGCTAATCATCTCGTACTTATCCTTCTACAAAGCAATTGGAAAAATTTGTCGCGACAAAACTTTACACATTATAAATACGGTAACAATCCAATCGCATTCTGGTTGCCTTTTCTTTTTAACGAAATTTCAATAAGAATAGTTAAATTAACAGTTTAAATTTTGTTTATACATTGTTTGTTAAAACAGTTTATAATTCCGTTTTAGCAATGATTGTCGAAAAAAAAAAAAAATATTGTATTGAAAGTGATATTGTATTGAAGTAATTCTTTTGTAACATCATTTATAAATGTAATCTATTAATATGCATAATATGCTCGTTATTTATATTTTTAAAAATTATGTAATTGCAATTACGTAATTTTATTATAAAAATTGCATTTCCTAATTTTGAAATATATAAACTTTAAAAAAAATTAGAAGTTTATATAGCAACTAATGATTTTAAGAAATAGCAATTGTTTATAGATATATTAAGATGTTACAGTGTTAACAAATACATATTTCTTATGCGAAATCTTGTGTGAATTCTTGTGCGAAGATGAAAAGACAAGGGACAATATTTATACAAATCATGCCATTTTAAGAAAATTGAAACAAATGTTATTACTGAATTATTACTGTACTTATAATGTGAACAAAGCCTAAAATTTGTTTTCGAAGTGTACTGTCAGTGAGTCGTTTTTTAATCTCTGATCTCCGAATATTAAATTTTATAATTTTAAAAAATTTGTATATATATATATATATATGTATTTATATTTATATATATATATATATTTATATACACACACACATTGTGTGTGTGTGTGTGTGTGTGTGTGTGCGCGCGCGCGCGTGCGTGTGTGTGTATGTATGTATACACAGTACTATAGATTTATATTATGATTATATTATCATATAAAGAAAATTATACTTTTTTTTTTAAATCTTGATATTTTTAACTCGAATTAACAATTAGCAAATGGAGAGAATTAAACGATGACTCACTAGCTGCATTTATATAAAAACTGTTTGATTTTAATCTCTCGATAGCAAGTCGATTATATTTTAATTCTTTCTACATCATTCGTCTCTCGAATTTCCTATCGAGCGATTGTCCTCGACGCGTCAAATACTCAGAGTCAATTACGCGATTTACAGGGGATAAATCTGCCATCACAAAATCGTTGTAATCTCAATAAACAGTCGGAAAAATATAATAGGAATTACTATATAGAAATACCGAGGAAATGTGCTTCTCGGTTGGATGTACTCTGCCAGTTTTATCAGCCTAAGAGGAAGGAATGTCGCGCATCACGTACAATTTAATCGAGACTAATCGGTCACATTATCGCGCACATGATCGCCCAATTATTTCTCGATTAGACATGACTTGATCACGCGCATTATTTTCTTATTTAATGCGCAATAAGGCGTCTAAACGCACACCGCACATCAGCGATCTTGTTCCTAAGAGCTGAAGAAAAACCAAACAGTTTTAGCGAAATGTAATGTTCAACGCGTTATGTAGTCACCGATACTCCTAATGCTAACAAACGGTCTTTTAAGCGTGAAAAATAGTGTTTGGCCTCGGACATAGATGATATTCGTTATTGTATTCTAACAGTTCAACAGTCGCTGCCACGTAAAAGCGGCGGATAAAACTGCCATTTTTAAATTGAAATAGTTGGAAAGAGTCGATTTTAATCGTGCAGATTGTAACGTGGTGTGTGTGTGTGTGTGTGTGTGTGTGTGTGTGTGTGTGTGTGTGTTTTGATGTATATGTTGTATGCCTGCGTGCGTATATTCAATAATTGGCTGTCTTTTAGATCGATCTTAACGAAATCGGCTTTATTAAAAATATATTTTTGTACTCGGTGATGCGCAGCTTCTTGGCTGAAAACAAAGCAGTTTAGAAACTGTGAAATTATCCCCCGAAACTAAGTATTATTTTTTTACGAACAAAAAGGGGTGTTGAATAATTGCGAAATTGTTATGATATGTAGAATTAAATTCCGTAGATTATTTTCATCTTTTGTTGATTGTAGATATATCAGACTGGGGATTTACTTTTTTTTTATTGTTTTCGATAAAAAGCTGATAAATTGTAATTATAATATTTGAATATTAGATGAACAAATTTTTTTTTATTGTGTTTTTATAAAAATATAAGATCTACATTATAAAAATTATCTCTTGTGATTTAAAAGTAACTATAAGAGAGCTTTGAGTGTTAGCTACGAAAATTAATATAAAAATGTGTGTAAATGTTCGGAAGCGACATTTTTATAAGAGAGAACATTTTCAGCCATTTCAGCGTTCTTTGAATGATATATATACAGATTAATAATTTTAAGAGACTTCGATTCGGACGACTACAGGAAGACTCTTTGCAACTATTTAAATTTGCGAACCGCATTTTTATCATGTTCCCTGTGTCGCATGCCTCGATATTTTAGAATGTACTTGTAAGCTGTTTGAACCGAAGGGGATCGGCTCTCGAATTTTATTTCCGGACATTTAGTCATGTTTGTTCATTTGTATTCGAAGCGCTTCGTTAGTTAACGTTAAGTGGATCTCAGCTCGCGAGTAGTTACTTGTTTATGTACAATTGCATGGAAAGGACCAATCCGCAGAAGAGAGAAAGACAGTGCAATTATAATAAGCGCGGAAAGAAGAAAAAAAGGATGAAAATAGATGTGTGCGCCGTAAGTGTGATGATGTGAAAATACCTCTGTTATTTTTGAAAATCGCGACTTTACAATTGTATCGGCTGAATTCTCCTAGAGATGACAATGTAGGAATAAGGCTGTGTAATAATCACTATTAGCGACATTATTTTGCGACCTGAGTCCCTTCTACGATCCGTCTAGACCGTTGTTATATTTAATACACTAAGCGCCATGAAAGCGACGACTCGGTTAAACTGCGTTGCGACATGCAAATCGATGTGTTGTTACTCGCGCAATTTTTACGAAAATGAGATTGCGAATGACACGGATTCTCGGGAGAGAGGGAGGGGGGGTAGGAGGGAGACTACGGATTCCAAGGATGAATATAGCCTCATGAATAATTTATAAGATGAACTCTTTATTCCCTCAGGATCAGCAAATGTAATGGACCTCACTAAAATCCAAATGCAAATTATAATTTGCTATGAGATAGCAACTTGACTTTCCACGCGAAACGCGGAGCTTCGTTAATGAGAAGGACGTTTTAAACAAATGAAGATGATTTATCCTCGCGAAATGAAAATTATTACGATAATGATGATTACGATATAATAATTACGATAATAATTTCGAATTACAATTCTGATCCTGTTAATATACATATTTATCTACGTATTAAAATATACAGTTCGTTTTTTCCTTTTTTTTTTTTTTACATTTTTTTTTCTTTTTATTTTCATTCGGATGATGAGACATGGCGAGTGGCGCTTAGTGCGCGTTTGGCGAACGTTTATTTATAAGTTTATTTGAGATGAATTAAATTTATGTGTCTTGCACAATGCAGACCTTTAATAACTTTACCGAAACTACACCGTGATTCTAAATGCTTCTATTTTTAAGTCTTCGGAGAACAGCGTATTCGAACATCGACAAATGTTTTCTCAGTTTTGACCTGTACGGCGATTCTTTTTTTAATTATAATTTGATAGCGGCTTGGCCCGTTTCTGTCAAACGCCAAAACCGTTTCCTCGACGCCGCTCCTCCTCTCATTATTGTTAAAAATATGTATTCAGTATTTGTGTTATTTTAGATTCTTATTATTATTGTCCAGGTATATTACAGTTTATTAAATCATTATTATCACGAACATTGTAATCTATTATAATACATAGTTTTTCCAAAATTGTCTAGTGTCGTTGTTACTTATATCTTGCTTTATTATCCATCGGATCATAGTGCTTAAACCTTACTAGTTAATTTCGCAAATTGTATTGTTTTTTATTTTCAGGTTTTTTTAAAATAATCATAAGTGATTTTCTTTCCTTAATAAAGATATCGAGAAAAATCGTTTGTTTATTTATCCTTAAAAAGCCATAAATAAGATAATATTAATTTAACAATTAATATTAATTATTGTTATAATTATTTGCGATCTGTGAAGGATGATTTGCAAAATTCAAATAAAGTAATTTTGACCTAAAAATCAGCCGTACTCCGATCTACGTCCTTGTATCGATGACTAATTGTATTGATGATTAATGTAATTTAGTAGATTTAATACTAATCCATGAATTTCAACATAAGACCTGAGAGCCTTAAACATTAACCGTACTTTGGTATTTAAAGATATTTAGATACAATTTAAAACTTCATGTTGAATGTCGCATAATCTTATCGAAAAGAATAACTCATGTTTATAGCCATTCTTTGCTTAGCTAATTAAAAACCAATCCAATTTTTTTAGGTCGATTAGAATAATAGAAAAATGGAACGAATAATATGGACAATTTGAAGACAGAAATTAAAGAAAAATATTCGATCACTTCTGCCCACAATCACAAATATCGATCATTTTGATCAACACAAAAGGCATTATCTTCCATCACACATTAGACTCCATATTTTAATTCAAATGCAATGCAAGCTCAGGAAATTAAATTGAGATCTATTACATCCGTTGTATTTTCTTGCTGTACATCGTTCCATTAGATTTTTACTGGTTTTGGTATTTATGAAAACTGCGTCCGATTTTGCAAATCGAACAATCATTTATTCTCTCGCTTCGAAAATCGTTCGACAATTCATCTTTCTACTACATCTCATCTGCGTTTGATATTAATATTCTTTTGAATCGAACTCCTCGATCCTGGATTTAAAAACCGAACGCAAAGAAATTATGCAATTTTACGTGCCAAAACTTGACTTTATTAACTTAGACCTGTTCTTCTTAGCTGAATTTCTTGCACAGTTAACATAAAGTTGATAAATTTTCTTTTAGATATAGATATTTAAATCTTTATATAAGATGTTATGACAATTTATAGAGATTTACCGGAAACATTTAATATTTGCTAAAAAGTAAGTATAAACATTAACTGTTTTTATAATTTGAAACTATTTGAGTCCAATAGATACATCTATAGGTATAATCTACAATGTTATGAATTTTGCAAGCAATTCTTTCAAAAGTATATTCGGAAATGCATTTGAAATATCTTATATGAGAAACGAAAGACAATTTATTTTGCGTATTGAATTTTAGGAATATTTAATTTTTTTTTCGTCGTCAAAAAATCTACTATCGTCAAAAACTATATATATTTTTCGATCAAAATCAGTAATTAATAATTATTCATTTTTTAATTTGCCTATATATATATAATAATGGAAATCTGTGAAATATATTGAAATTATCAATTATGTAGATACAAAATATATTTTTTTCAGATATCATTAGTATATTACAAAGAGCATTATTAGCATATTATAATGATATTATAAATTATGAAAATATTTTCATAAAAGATATTCAGGAAATATCTTATTCTGAATGAAAATATATATGTAAATGTATATATTATAATACATACATATTATATATTATAATTATGAGATATCTAAAATTAAATAAATATTTTTCGCTCATTCACGAGCACTACTATAAAATACGGCACCACTATAAAAACTATATAGAATAAAATAAAAAACTCACTATTATGAGATCATTTCAATTATTTCTCTAATGAAACGATTTTTTTTAAGACGAGTTCCCAAAATGGAATTCCACCTAAACACAGCTTAGTACAGCCTCTAGATGAGAAGCTGTAAAATAAAAATAAATTAAATATAGTTTTTCACACATCTAAAGAAAAACCAATTTAGTTTACGATACAATTATTAATTAAGATTATCTTTATAGAAATGTAGACATTTTTTTTAGACGTACCTTGGTTTTTTGTCTTGGGATACCAATCTAGTTTATC